TTATTGTTTTTAACAAGAGTGTCATTTTACAAATACGTACGGATTTTTATTCGAAAGGACAGACGATATTTTCGCGTAATTGCATCTTTTTTCAGAGCATAGATGCAGAATCCATGCATAAAGGACCATTTTAATGGCTTCCGTGAGATTTTCAACACCAACCGTGAGACCTGGTGGTCAGCGCGAAAACCTGGAGACTCACGGGTAAACCGTGAGACTTGGCAGCTCTGCATGTGAGGCATTGGAAGTTGTGAACTGCGTATAAACAAACTTTATATATTTAAAGTTGTCTATTCAGAAATTTTCAGCAGTTATTATATGGTTCACAACATTCCATGCATCTCTGCAGACGTTACAAATTAGCCTGCATGATTTATCTCATTATTTACTCAGTGCCACAGTGCGTGCTAATTTAAGCTGCACTTTCATCTTTAATTTATTAAGCATGTTAAACCTATCTAAACATTCGAGTACCTTCAATAAACATGATGCAAAACTTATCATAACATTAACTATACGAAGTCCAAAATTCTGCGTGCTAGTTTTGCCACACTGAAAAACGCTGGAAACCTATTTTCTCTAACTGATACCTTATGTGCCAACATAAATTTCCATGCATGGAGAAAATTTTTTTTCTTCAAACAATCAGCGTTTTCTTTTGTAATAACTAAACAGAAATACTACTTGACTTAATATATAACTATACTAACTCGCATTATGACAACAACAGTTTATAATTAAGCTTGAAATATGTTTCTGAAACTAAGGTTTAGGAATGATTTTTTTGTAGGAAGGAAAGCCAACAAGTTTCCCAAACGTTCTATACAACTATAGTAGAAAAAACAATTTGAAAGAAATACTAAATTATCTTGAACAAGAAAACAGAAGGGAAAATGTGTGAACATGATATAATTTGAGTTGGAATCTGCAAAATTAAATTGGGCCGTTTATAGTCTGAATTAAAATTTACAAAAAAAACAGATTAATTTCAGAAGTTTTCAATATAATGACCACAATGTTTTCCGATAAAAGTTAAAGCTAATGTTTCCATGTACGTATAGTTGGTTTAGAAATTAGTTTTTGGCTAAATGGGTAAATGAACCGAGTCAAACATTCATTCAATATGGCAAGAGCTACTGATAAGTTAAGAGAAATATCGAATTCTCTTGCATACGAAAACATGAGGATAAAATATGTAAGGCGTGGTGTAATACGAGTGGTTGAAATGGATTAGTTTAAAATATTGTGGAAAGACTCACTGTAGGATCAGTTGTAGTTGAGTTTCGACAGGAAAGTTGGATAGATTAAGATGGAGTCTAAGTTTGTGATTTTCTTCTTGTTTGTCTTTACGGCTGACATGACTGTGGTCAACAGTCAGAGTAAAACTACGGTGAGTTTGTCGTGTTATCAGTATCAAGGCACTACGGTTTACGTACGGTAGCCTACATTTACTAGTAATTTAGGCTAAAGCAAGCATTTAATAATTTATATTGGACAGCTGCATCAGTTCTCCCTAGACGACAACTCTACCATGCAGTCCTTATTGCTCCCGCGTTTCACTGCAGGAGGAAACCTAAAGTAAACTACGTTACTTATACTGGCTCATACAGGATTCCTCGATCAGTGCTAAACTGTTGTCTCTTCACGTTTGGAATAAGGACAATCCCTTACCAGTGTAAGCTCAGGAATGGATTTACTGCGGGAGTGCAGGCCGCAGGGGTGTGGACAACACACTCTGGATCTGGCTGGAACAATCCCTGTGTTAGCTACTAGACGAGTTACTTAATTAACCTAACTCATTTTTTATACTAGACATTTAATAGCTCTTTGAGAGTTTGAGTTTTTTTGAAGCTGTTTTCGTTCAACTTCCAGTATAAGGACCATATCTTGTATTGCTAATTATGTCCTCAATAAATTTTTGTAATTTTTTATTAGTCTGCTCAGGTGACCTGCGGTTCTGCAGGTATCCCAGGTATTCCTGCAATTCCAGGAAATCCCGGAAGGGATGGTATACCCGGGTCACCTGGTCCTGCTGGAGCGAAAGGCGAGGCTGGAGAGAGAGGAAATGATTACGTTGATCTTGTGAAGTCAAATTGGAAACAATGTGTTTGGAAAAGAGAGGATCTCAAAGATACTGGCTTGATACAGGTTTAATAAGAAATTTATGTATTTATTAAAGTAACAGTTCAGTTACAAGATAAAGGACATTACCGGGATTTCAAAGTCTGAGTACGTTTTTAAAAACAGGTATTTTGAAATCCTGGAAGTGCGCAGTCGAGTATTTGGACTATTGTAATTTACATAGTTTTATATAAAATCTGATTTTTAAATCTAGTACTTTAGTGTCCTGTAGGACACCTTCATTTAGTTTCTACTGTTAATTAATGAGTTTGAGAAGATATTCTTACGACCTACTTTGGTAGCAAAGTAGTTCACACTTGGCTAAATCTCCGGCCAATTCCAAAACGGCGAATTCTTACACTGCACCTAAACCTTAACCATTCCCCTAATCCAAACCCAATTCCAACAAGGACAGGCCAAATCTAAAGATAACCCTATCCCCTACAGTCGCGTGCAAAAATTATTCAAACAAGCAGTTTAATGGTCCCCTCCCTCCTATAACAAGTGGTTCTTGCCCCCCTCCCCCTTTAGCAATGTTGTTAAAACAATTTTGAGGCAAGGGTCATCTAATAATATGTTTTCAACATTGTTAATGAGCGGGGGGAGGGGGGCATACACGTGAAAAAGATCACCAAAATGTGAAGAGTCTCATTATTGTTGCGCATGATTGTAGAAATAGATAATGATTAATATGGTAGTCTAATCATGAATCAATCATAGACGGGTTTCCGTAATTCTAATCCTAAAGTAATCCCACTTTTAATTCGGCTAATACTAATAAAGTAATCCCAATTAATTCGGCTAATACTAATAAAGTAATCCCACTTAATTCTAATCCTAAAGTAGTCCCTTCTAATCCTAAACTTTTCAACCAATCGTTAAATTAAATAATCGAGTTAGGCAAAGCTATAAATTGCGGTTAATAGAGTAATATGTTCCGATGAGTAGATCTGCATGAGTCACAAAAGTAATCCGTACAAGGTCCAAGGGAACCGTTTTGCAATAGCAGATAAATATCGAACTTTGGCTACTAAGCATGTGAATAACTGATGCCAATTTGGGATTAACCAATCAGAATGCATATAATGGCCCCCTTTTTGTGCAAGGACTTTTGACCACAGTTTCGACGTGCACTATTCATTCGCGAAACTTTGGCCAGTGCGGTACATCTCTGGCAAAAATTCTTACCTTATTCCGCCTAAATCAAAACCTTGGCAAAGAAGTAAAATTTAAAAACCATGCGCCCACCTCCCAATAATCATGTACACCAATTAGCGTTTCTACAATTACGTGTTGTAAGGACTGTTATATATCCTGTATATAGCTAGGCATGTTACTCATGCCTAGCTATATACTGCTAGGCATGTTACTTGTAACCCACTTGTGTGACGAAATGTAATAAATAATTAATTACTACTGGTGTAGTGCTGTCTGATAGACAACACTTCACCACATGAAGCGCAATCACCGCTCTGTCTACTCATTCAGGTCGCACTGAAGACCTGAATGAGCAGATCGACCTATACTATATAGAGACTCGATCGATGTGGTCAGTCAGGTTATTGCTTGCGGAAATCGGGGTAATTTTTTTATTTTCTCGTTCGAAAGGACATATAAAAGCATATGTAAAACTCTTTTACCGTTTTTTTCACATCTTGCTTACTTCTACAAATATTTTAATCGAAAGAAATGAAATGTCCGCCATCTTGGATTTTTGTAGATATGCATGTTACGTCACAACAGGGTTTACGCAATATTTCTATCTGAACAATCACTTTGCGCTCAAAATTATATTCTGTATATGCCCTTGGAAATATCAAGATCACTTTAAAACTTAATTGAAACATCTACCAATCAATATTTGGTCAGCAACGAATACTTTTATATGGTTCATCCCTGTTGTGACGTCACCAAAACTACGGTTAGTGAGATCAAAAAATTCATCCCAGATCGCGGACATCTCATTACTTCAAGTGAAAATATTTCAAGAACTAAGCAAGATATGAAGAATCGGTAAAAGAAGTTATTAAATAGTTTCAAAAGTTATTTCAAATGAGAAAATAAAAAAATATATTGCCATTTCGCTTTAACGGGGAGGTTCGCCTGTTTCCCTGTTATCTAAAGGTCCACCTGTCCCTCTAGAACCTGCAGTTTTTGCAGTACCCTGGGTAATGTGCCTTATACCAATAATGGTTCACCAGTCCAACTGGGTCTGAACTCGCTGAACGACATGCGCAGAGTCAAGCATGCCCTCCGCAGTCTAGAAATTCGCCTGTTTCTCTAGATAAAACTTAGGTTAGCGAGAGTCTCTAGACAGTTTGGCCGGAACGTCCTGTTTTCGAGCACTCGTCTGCCCAAAATATATGCTACAAAAACGTGTTTCAAGTCATTGTTGTCTTGCTTAGCCGCCAGTTGTTCGATTTTAGCTATCTGTCTGTTTCCAACTACTAATCATACTCGAAACTACCGTCGTGACCTTAACCTAACCCTAGTAATCCTATTCCTGACCCCAATAAAATCCCAACTCTGATCCAATCTAAGCCTAATCTAATCATTGCCGTAAATCTAATCTAATCCAAACCGTAAACCTAATTTAATCCTTAAGCTCTGGGCAAACTATAAGAAACATTGTTGTGGAAACATTGTTTCCTACCAATGTTTCGCCATGTTTCCAAGAGTGGGCAAACACTAGGAAACATTAGTGAGAAACATAGGGGAACATCAAATGTTCCTGAATTCGCTAGGAAACATTTTTGCTTCTCGGGAAGCAAATTTTGTTTCCGCAACAATGTTTCCACGGGTGGGCAAACATGGAAACATTTGAGGAAACATCGAGAATCACAAATGTTTCTGCAACAATGTTTCCTAGTTTGCCCAGGGCTTTACCTTTGCCTAAACTAATCCTAATTCCTAACCCTTTGAAACCTGATCTAATCCTTACCTTAGACCTAATCTTAACCTTATTCTAACTACCCTTTGTCTTTTCTGTTCATATAGAACTGTATTTTCAACAAGAAATACGACAACACCTCACTTCGTGTGTTCTATGGAGGAAACCTACGTCCTTACGGCAGTGGTGTTTGCAGTCGATGGTATTTTACATTTGATGGCGCAGAATGTACAAAACCAGCTACTATTGAAGGTGTTGTTTACGTTAAATCAACGCAAGTCAACCCCCTTCGTCACCGTCATATTGAAGGTTACTGTAACCAGGTTCCAAAAGGTCATGTACGTGTGGGGTTCTGGATAGGCAAGTGTCAGGGTCAAAGTCTCGGAAATGGCAATACTGGCTGGCTATCGATGTCTCGCATTGTGATTGAAGAAGTACCACCTCCTCAACCTTAATATTATTCAAGAAAAAAGAGTATTATTCATGTTCTCCATATAACCAAATTTTACAACCATAGGAATTTTACAGAAGATACTTAGAAAGTAAAAAAACTGAAATCATTATAACTAATATTTCTGCAATTGTCGATCTGGTGTTGATTGTCAGACAAAAAAATTCGTTTGTTAAAATTTAAACTAAAATAGAATTAAATCATTTCTTTAACGTTACATTAAAATGCGATAGAAAAGAAAGTTTTAAATAATTCACTAGCCTGGAGTGTTTAATTAATTGAAGAATTGTGATTTTAGATCAGGAGGTCATGCTTGTTTCACGCCCAAATTAAACCGCACGAGAAAATATTGATTTGCAAAGTAAAGCATCTCAACAGCATACATTTTTTCTTTGCCTTTGGCGTCCTCTATCTTTACTGAAGCCCTGGGGCCGGCTGTATAGAACTTTGACCTGGCCTCTAATTTCCCTGAAATCAATCGACGGCAATGGCGTTAAAAATTGCCGTAGAACGTAACAAATTAATAAAAGTTAAGTTTAAAAGTTAAGTGAGCAGGTATTGTCGCATTGAACGAGTGAAATTATTCTCGTTTTATACATAGTCATAGTCGCAATCAGCTACAAATTGGACAAAATATTTTCTATACCATGCCATTGTCGTTGAATGTTGTTTTTTTTTTATTTTGCCCGCAGCCATGCACGCAGTATTTCACCTTCGAACACAAGATAAATTATCGTGACGCTACTGTAAATAGTCTAAACTAGCATGAGAGGTGTATTTACATACACCAACCATTGGCTTCATAAAACAATAGCGATAAGTGTTTATGACTCGTTCTTTAGGAAGGTAATTTCTATTGTTCGTTCATTGTCTTAAATCGTTATGATCCACCAGTCACAAAGCCCGTTCAAATAGATTGGTATAGAGCCCCAGAATACTAACCATACATATGTCTCACTTCACGAGAAAAACGTAAGAAAGACAAATAAGTTGTTACTGCGTATATCTGGCGGCCATGTTCTTAGGAAGTTCCCTAAAGGCATTCACCCGGAACATGAAATTTCTGTATGTTTTCGGGGGGGGGGGGGGGGGG